GATTATATTTATTAATGAACAATTTGGCCTCTTACATGACTCTTTCAAAATAATAACGAACCTTCAGTATTGAATGAAAAATGTCAAATTAATATTTTTTCATTCTGAAAAATACTGGAACAATCGAAAACTGAGAAAATGATGATTTTTTATCCATTGATCAAAATTAAAAAATATACATCTATCATTTTTCGTTCAATTTTTCCATTAGAAAATAAAAAAAAAATTCATGCAGTGCCTGTAGTTAATTCCTAAATGGAAGCTTTAGTTGGGGTTTTTAAAGTACTTATTGAAGCCTAAATATCTATCTTGGTTAAGCCAAAATATTTGGAGCGGAATTTTTATGGAGAAGGTAAAGGGTTAACGTTCATGAGAAACTTCCATAACAATTCATTGAACTACTCCTCAATTTCGACTGATAATGTCCTTCAATATTCCATTCAAAGTTCGCTCCAGGTGTGGGCCATCCCAATATACCTTGCCACAGCCCTCGCACACGTAAAACTGAGGAACTGATTTTAGAACACTTCTTGGTACCTTCTTCACTTGAATTTTCGCACCATACTTTGTCGTGCAGTTTGCCGCATTCAACGTGTTTGTTGATAGTGACCAAGGACGATTGCTCCTGGTCTCAGCTGGTGTATTTCTCGATGAGCTCTCCATCACGTAACGATCGCTGTCATAACGAGGATTACCCCTCGGTGGATTTGAGTGATTTTCACGATTTCCAAATCTATTGAACAAACAATATTTATGAATTCTATCGCTGAAAAATGACATTCAATGGCCAAAATATCGCCCATAAAAAGGGTGTACCTTCTCATTAAATCCCAGAGAGTATTATTTGACAATAAAATAAATTCATCGCCATTGCATATCTGACAACGACTGAATATATCCTCCTCCGTGAGTTTGATATTGAAATGACTCAGCACCTCTTGTAATTGACAATCAGGTTTGTCATTGAGAACTTTGTAACAATTTTCGGGAGATAAATCAGCAAGTTCCGCCAACTAAAAAATCATGATTACATCAGCCATTTCGTTTCTTTATGCCCTTATCGCTCTTTATCTCATTAAAACACGGATTACCTTCTGATGATTTGCATGTCGTGTCAGAAGCACTCTCTTTTCATTTCCAGCTATACGTGCGGATTGATGCCCACCTCTATCGAATTCAATATTAACGCAGTCACAGCCACACATGCGAAGTTGCTTAGCCAACCCGCATAGCATAGAATCACAGACGACCCTCCACTGATGAGCAGGTATACTCCTCCCAAAGCCCTCTCCATCAATCTTTCCCTGCTCTCCCATTCCTCCAGTATCTTTGGAGTTGCCCCCTTGCGCCTGCTCCTTAGTTTTCTTCATAGGTTTGCAGGGAGACTGATGAGGGAGATGCTGCAGCTCCCCACATATCTCGAAGAAGGGAATTTCCCTCGCAAGACAAATCCCCGCGAGTTTGTCCCACACCTCCAGCAGACAATAGGCATCCAAAGCTGCATAGATTATCTGACTCTCTCTCAAGGGTCTCCTCTCCCAATTGGAAAACTGATCGTTTTTGTTTAATCGATTTCCAAGAGTGATCTCTACCAATTTACTCAAACTCCCTCTATTGAAATTCTGATCTCCCTGAAACTCAAGATTCAATTTGTACTCCGTCGCTAGCTTATGCCACAGATGCTGGAGGTCCAGGAAGCCGGACTGCCCTACTCGGATTTCCCCCAGTGCTGGCAGTGACTCTTTGAACATTGTTATGTCGTGAGTTAGTCCGAAACCTATTTTAACAATACTTCGATTCCCGAGGAGTTTTACACTCAACTGTTTCCATATCTCGGAATTTTCAGGTCTCAACGTCGTCACATCCAGAATGAACACAGCATTTTCTGTAGCCACTTGTATAACTGCCAATTCACTTTTCTTCACACCGAATGAGGGCTTCCACTCAGCATCGATCCCCACCATGGTAATCCCTCTCATTTCCTGATTGATGAACTGTGAGAAAGTCTGAGGAGAGTCCACCAGTTTGACTCGATCCCTGGGAATCTTCAGTGTGTGGTAAGCGATACCATCTTGGGGCTCGTCCCAGGATTCCTCAGGCTCATGGGGCGCGGATTGCTGGGGTACTTGGGCATTGAGGCCGGCTATAGCCAACGGTAGTTGATCTTCGGGAATGTTAAAAGTTCTCGCCCAGTACAGGGCCTCGTCGATGTCGTAGGAGGTTATCCCTGACACTAGGCTCAGTTGAAGCCTTGGATCATTTCCCACCGCCTCCCTGGCCATTTCCCTCCAGCATTCCGAGCTCAAGGTCCCGTCGACGAATCTTTTGTAGATGAGGAAGTGCAATGCACTTTCTCCTCTCTTTCGATTCAAGTTTGGACAGATTTCGGAGGAAAAATTGTAATCTTTAATTAGACGAGCGATGAGTTTCATCATTGGTCGAGAGTGACAGGTCGACATCTTCACATCTGGGATATCGTTGGATGTTATATAATCGTCCAGAACATGCTGCATTATCTTCGATGGCGAGAGCAGATCGTCCAGGTAGACTATGAAGGATTTTTGGATCTCTGGACAAGACGCCATGAAGTCCTCAGCAATTGTGTTCTTCGTTTGGAGGATTAGAGGTAAGAGGAGAACCTCAGGATGGGAGAAGTGGGACTCGAGGTGTAGAATTGTTGCATATTGTGCCACTTCTTTGTACTTTTTCTCATGCAGCATGCCCTGAAAGATTGGATACCTCACTCTTCCACAAACTAGAAATGAATAAAGATATAAGACAATTTTTTTACAATTACCTTCAAAAAAGGAAGAAATAACTCATTATTAGTCTCCAACTCGTAGGCGTTCGAGACTAATTCCACTAGTTTCATGCTCTTCTGCTTCATCACTAGTCTCAGAGCTGCTAATTTCAAATCAGGAACTAAACACTCGGTGTACATTGCCTTTTGGACAGAAAGCCATTTCCGGAAGTCATTCATTACTGGAAGAAACAGAAATTATCGATGAAGTATTTCGAGATGAGTTAATGCTATTGGTACGGACCTGTCAGGGCGAGGGAAGCTTTTGGTTTTATATTATTAAAATCTGCTGTGTTAACCAGAAGACGCAAAGTGCTTAGATAAGGATTTGGCGCTGTATCGAAATAATCATAAAGAGTTTTTGTCACAGCTTCGCTCTCTTTCCCTGTAACAGAATTGAAAAAATGAATTCCTTTGAGAGAATTGAGTGATTCGGGAGGACTTACAGAGATCCCAGATATGATGTAAATTCTTCAGCCATGTCTTGGTGGCCTCGTCGATAGATGTGAAGAAACTCAAGTCAGATTGTTGATTTGTTGAGTGACTATTGCCTGGTGGTGCTGAGTCCTCCCTCGAATGTCGTCCTTGATGTCGGATTTGCGCCATTGGGTCTTGCAGATGATTTTTATATTATATCATCCAATGACTGACTTTTTTCTCGGAATCAGCAAGTGTTATGAAATGCCTCACTGTGATAGTGACATTTAACCTAGAGAAGCAATGCAGTAGATTACCGGTCGGCAGTTAACGATGCGGTACTGAACAAATCAACTACTGGTGGAGCTATAATTGATTGAGGCAGCACTTTTGATCACATTTCTATTATTATTGCGGTTTTAAGTAAATCCGAGGACATTCGAGGAGGGAAAGATCTTCGGTCTGTTCACGGAGTCTTATTCTGACGGGAATTGATGCTTGATGGCTGATTACGAACAGCTGATCGGAGCTTTCTTCTTTACCAACTCGCCTGGTAAACCGGAGCATTCGGAAGTGTGAATCTAGAATCTAGATATCGTGGTAAATTCTAACTATTTTTTCAAAAATTTATCTCCTCGAAATTCACTTCAATTAAGCGCAGTAAATAGTCGAGTAGTTGTCATTGTGGCTAAAATTAAAAATATCGGCTATTTTTTAAAAGCAAATGTTATATTAAATTTAAAATTCGTAAAATTTCATCGATACTAAATTGTAAGATTGTAGGTCGTCAAATTTGAAATTTTCATTTTTTTGGTGTTACGACAAAAAATTTTTATTTTGGTTCTTTTCATTTATAACTGTCAGAACAATTGATATAATTGTTCATCGCGTGATGTAGAGTAAGTAAAATAAAATAGGTAAATTCTGATTTTACATTTCCGTAATTTTTAGAGCTTCTCCAGCCAAAAGCCCATGAAATCCACGTCGTTAATCAAAACGAAACAATAACTTCCGATACGTAATAATTGAATAATGTTAAAAACATTCGCTTTCGCCCAGGATACATCATAATTATAATCAGATAATATGAATGTCATTAGTACGGCTTAAATTGTCGTAAATTGTCAGTAGAATCGAGGTCAACGAGTGCTACACGAGTAAAACTACCGTGTCAGAGAGAGAGAGAGAGAGAGAGTGAGAGGGAGAGAAAATAGTGTAATGAGAATGCAGGGAGCGAATGCGTGTCATGCGAGAATGCGAGTGAAACGAGTGCGTTGGTCGAAAATTAATATGCGAAGCCCAGTATGACTCGAAATTAACGTTCGATCGAACTGGCAAGCGCAACCGCTACTTTCCAGTCGCATTGCCACTTACCCCAAATAATTTTTCCATCCCATTAGCAGTATTTTTCAGGAAATGAAAATTCCTGGGCGTTCATAACGTATTCATTGAGTTGAAGGAGTCTTAAATGCATTTATGGTCGAGTCATATTATCATTGGAATTACAACGTAACAGACTGTTATCAGACTGAAATTTTATTGAATAGGGTTTCTAATGCCGCGGCGCTTTCGGAAATCCCCGCACCTGCTTATTCTCTCGTCTTTCCGCTCTCAATCTAAGCCTCTACCGGGTTTGGGATACGTGAGATAAATTCCAAATGGAAACCTTGCCCCAACTCACCGCCACACTATCTAAACCACCAGCCAAAGATACACTCGAATTCATCAGTTCCCAGTTTACAGGGCATTATTTATTTCAATTGCACTAATGAATTCTCCACCAGTCTTGGGAATTCACTGTTTCACACGGAATTTCTACTTCAGTATCAATCGAGAAGAAAATTTACCACTTGTATTTTTCTTGTACTCGGTTTAAGATTTCTTGAAATTTCAGTCACTCTATTTCTAGTCAATTCTGATTGAAAATTCTTTCGCAATTTCTCATTCATCTTCAAAATTCCTATGTCGCTAAAAATTTATTATTTTTCAACTTGAAATCGCAAGTGTCATTTTTCAATCGTGTAGAAATATTTTCCAACAGAGTATTTGTCGATAAGTTCCCCGCGAATCGAAAAGTTTCCGTTCGTTTCATCATTTATCGCCTGAGATTAAAAAATATGCACATTATATTTTTGATTCACCTATATATTTCTTGTAACCCCCAATTGTTCGGAAATTCATTGAATTCAATTCATCGCGGCTCATCAATTTCTAAATTGCGCTTGATTAATTACTTTCGATCGCACTGAAATCGAATGGAGAAAAAAGGTCAGGAGATGAGGAATAAAAATGCAGGAGTTACAAAACAAGGGAGAAGAATGAAAATAAAAAGAAGGTTGCAGGGATAGATTGGCCATCACCCTGGCAACGAGGATGCACCTCATCCAAGATCGACTTGATTTCCAGTTTTCTCTGGTACACGTTCAGCAGATCACGTCCGCACACATTACTATCACTTCCCTGACTTCATTTCTAGTTTTTTTTTTTCCCTTCGACTGGGTTTTAGTACCTCGGGTAAGTCCAATCCCTCACAAAATTCTGGGAGAAAAAATTGAAGTTACGAAATAAGAGGGACGTTTTGATATTGTAGGGGTATGAAGGAATGGGAATTGTTCTTTCTGTGGTATGGGATAACGTGCACAGGGTACAACTCCACCAGCTGGTGGAGGACAGGATCACGCATCGAGGAATTAACGATGGAAACGTCAGACACAGTGGGCGTGCACTGGGTTCTCCTCGTGTGACAACGAATTATGCACATGCCGTTTGCCATGTAGTGGATCACTTCATCAAACACCTCGGAGATGATCAAAACCCCGTCCTAAGTGAGTCTATGAAAAATAACGTATAAAGAATTTTCAATGTTGCAATAAATTCTATTGACTGTATAATTATTCATTGTAATTCATTGTTGAATTAAAATTACGCGCCGGTTTCTTATCAGAAATTTGAAGTGAAACTGAAATCACGAGGAAAAAAAGCCGATGTCCAATCCAAAACATTCAATTGATTAACCATGACTACCCTCTCAAGCAGTTACAATTTCCAATCCATTAACCTCTCTAACAAGAAAACAGATCTACCGAGATGAAAATTTTCTTGTTCTGCTCCACATCCCGACAACTTCTGGAGTGAAAGACTCTTTTTAAACCATTCAAGAAAGGAAATTATCTGATCTCTCTCCTATGTCTTCCGTTCTCAAGATTATTAATAAGATTATGGGGAAGTTCAAGTGGAGAGAAACAATTGTTACTCCCTTTCTCCACTTGGTGATTCTCAACAGGAGAGCTTCTGCCTCCAAAAAAATCTATTGATAGAAGTAACGATTGTTTTTCCCTCCAGAATTTAATTTGATCCCTCGACTCTTCTGTTGGTTTTTGCTGTTAGAAAATTACACCTGCAATTTCCAACAGCTCCAGGGAAGGACGTGGAACTATTTTTTTGTTTCTGTCATTTTGTTAATAATATATTTATACACTGATTACAGTAATAATCATTTTATTTTATTTCTGAGATGAAAACAAAAATAGGGAGATATTTTGAATTCTATTGGAAATTCAGGGATAATCGTAATTTATTTGAATGAAATTTTTAATTGTGTTGTGCGGAAAAATAAATAGTGCAACAGAGAGGGTTGGAGGGGGTGGTTACGGGTTATCCATCCAGGGGTTGGGCCGAAGACTTACGGCCCGAAGAAACTTTTCGGGGTAACGATCTAAACCAGTCTGGCCGTGGCTAGGTAATTCGAAGGGTGTGTGCCATAGTATATAGTACATAGCAACCTGGAAAATACCGTGGATGCCGCACTCCATTTCTCCCTCGTAAGAAAAGCTCACAGCTAGGGTTAACGTCAGCTTACTTAATATATGCAAACCTTCCAACCTAGCGTTTGCTACCATCTCACTCTGCCCTCTCTCATCGTATTCCTCAGCCCATAGTTTAAGTCCCAACCCAAAACGAGTTAACGTAAACTTGGAAATTTCAAATAAATGGAAATACCTCTGTATTTCCTCCCCCAATTCATTTTTTCGTGCGACACCCTAATGAAGTCAGCGGGCCTTCCACCCTCGGTAATTGTTGGATTTCATTTTTCGGTGATAAGGCTCTGGGAATGTGATAATACAGAAATTCCTGACGTGCGGAGAATATGTAGGAATTTTGGACAGGAAACGCCAAAAGTTTACCGTGAAATCATTGTGTTTGAACTGTTTAACAATTTAATTCTTCAAAAGTTTCTTACAATACTTGTAAGTTCTGATAATTCACTTCTAAAGATGTGGAGTATTTTGAAAAATCAATTTAAGAAAAAGCGACAAAAAAAAAATTTCTATTTTGCCTAATTATTATTTTTTTAGATCAATCAATATTTAACAACTTTGAAATTCGTTTATTTTATTTTCTCACGTGGTTAGTGAGTCGTGATATCACAGAAAGTCGTAACTCCACGTTAAGAGCTGCAAAAAGATTTATTTACAACCACTGAAATTAGTATACACTTACCCCTACCCCCAGAAAAAGCTCAGGAAGCACTAGAAGTTGGGGTGAAACACCTGGAAAAAATGCCCTCGCTAATTCCCATTTTTATATTTATTTTTCCTTCAAATCGCCTCTAGCCATCTTCTCCGTGGCGTGTATGTAGTGGTGGTGGTTATCTTAGTATTGGTGTACACGTGAAACTGAATTGCGTGCAAGTTTCTGCGATAAGCTCATCAAGCATGTCGGTAAACGTATCGTCATGTGCGTGTCGTTAAATCTTTGGTGAAAAAATTGCATTATCACCAGATGTTACATTGGATCCACATAGTCCAATGGATTTAAACCAAAGATAAAATCACCAGCATTAAGCATTTTTCTACCTCATTCAATAATTCATCATTTCATAAAAAAAAAAATAAAAATAAAATATTGAAGAATAATTACGGAGCGTCCAATAAAAATTACCGAGGCGCACATTTTATTCTATTTTATTTCTCATCGCAATCTCTCGTGAATTATCCACAACTTTTCTCTATTTGTATCTTTTCGTAATTTATGGAATATTATTGTATACAGTATTTTCTTAAATAAGTGACTATAAAAAATGCACTAAACTTTTTTATACTGCACGCAGAGGAAAAAAATATGGGAATATTTCTCGTGAAATCGCGGAGAAAATTCCAGTGCTGCGCAATGCCGGTGCACCGTTAAAATTCAGGTGCTGCATAATAAAAACTAGTGTACCAACTGGTAAATTTTATTGTCCAAGGACTCGGGAGGATTCAGGATGACGCACTGATGAGGGGTAAGTTTTCG